GAAACACATAGAAAAAAGAACCAATCACAAGAGAGTAGGATGTACATAAAGCATAGTGACCTCATCACTTCAGAAAATGACACCAAGCGGAAGTAAACATATAACCAGCAATAACATTAACACCTAAGTCCTGCATCCGAAGGAGCAAACTTCCCTGTGAATTCCACACAAACAACGAAAAAGTGTTTTCGAAGGATTAAAATTCCAGAGAGTTTCACGCAAACAATCAATGTCTACCGGGACAAATCATACTGAATAGAGAATGTGTGACAGGTTTAGGCATATAGTCATGAACATGTAAATCCAAGTAATGTACCGTATACATAATCTCATAGAAGAAAATTGTAAATTACGTTCTAAAATTTTAATAACTATTATGTAAAACTCCAATGAGAATTTCAGATTATTGGAAATACAATCATCAATGCAAGTACAAAACATGGGAGGCAAACCTACCTTAGACCCAAGATATTTTCAAAGAAAACTAAAAGAAAGGGTGGGTTAGCGAAGCAGGGAGGGAAAATACACTAAATCTAGCATAATCTTCAGTTTTACAACATGAGAGGAGGCTTTGTATTTTTCATTTATAATGCTGAGAAAATAGAAAAGTTAGTGTAACGAAATCCCTTGTTAAACAGACTATGCGAACCAGCCTGTTCGGTTATTTAGACGTGTGTGGGGTGATTTCGTGCAAATAGCAATAAAACGAATAAACTGCCGAATCACCCGACCTCCTACTGAGGTCGTGTGGTGCCCATTAACCACCCAGACTTTGCGGTTAACCATAGAGTAATTGGGGAACAGCTTGGTGGTCAGCGTTCGTCTGCCAAACACGTGGCAGTCGCCATTTTAAACCGTCAAACGCCCAGCGGTAAATGGCGGCAATGCCCTGGAACTCTATTTCAGATACTTATTCTGCCGAACAACGCTGATACTTACCAAGGTCCTCGTTCATACGGTTGAAAACACACGAATACCGGAGACATTGCACCGTTTGGGACTTGGATTTATGCGAAAGAGACCAACCCCAGATAGCTACAGTGTGGAACTCTTTGTCGGATACAAACATGCGAACGGCCGGTGAAGTCCAAACTTCATTCGACGTTATTGAGAACTGTGTTCGTGGGATCTGATCGCTATTTGCTTAGAATATGCACTCACATCCAAGCTATCTGGGGGTAAGTGGGACTTAAAATTTATGGTCAGTAAAATATAAGTTATAGATTTTTATGCTGTTTTGTGAATATGGGAAAAGCCATGTTTCTTTCTACCTGGAGATAATTAAGGCTCTCTTTACTACCTTAAGTTAATTATCTCCAGGATGGAAAGGAGGGAGTGACCTATGTAAAAGGGACTCCCCTTTATGTTATAGCCACTGCGATTGGCTACTGTAATTCTTTTGTCCCAGTCTTCCATCTGGTCCCCTAAGGGAGTGTCCACCAGGTAGGAGACCTGCATAAATACCGGGCAGGTAGTCCCCATTAAATCTCGACTCATGTTTGGGGGATTGGAAGCTATACTCACTCTGTTTCAGCGGGATTTTGGGACAAGCTACAAGGATCAGCACTGCACAAATAGAAGGATCCTTTACACTGGTGGCAAACGACGGGATTTTCTCCCGTACAGATGTACCGAATCGAAACAAGTGGTGAATGGCGCATAGATACGAACGCTTGAAACAAACAACATTGAAGGAACCGCTGGAAGCTCGAGGCATAGTGGCAAGCAATAAACGGAAAGCCATGTTAATAGCCAAACTACTGGAGAGCGATCAAACTGGCGAACAACAAATGACGAATGCAGAGTAAACAGAGTTCCAAAGGGATGTGAGATGGAGACTCAGCCTGGCAGGACCTAACCCTGCACCGGAGATCATGGTACAGATCTTGGCACAAGCTACAGAGAACCAGAACGCCAGAGAAGCTCGAGAAGCCAGAGACAGATCACCTCCTGTGGATATATTGTCGCTATCTGGATCTACAATGGGGCGTCAGCGAAAAATCAACTACGCTGCCTTTAAAAGCTTCGTGGAAGGTGAGATGGATATTGATAATTACTTGCAAGATTTTGAAAGATAATGTGTGTTAGAAGATTCAGAAAGAGCTAACTGGGCTGCAGTACTAAGCAGCAAATTATCCGTCAGAGCAGCAGAAGCATTGAAAGCTGTGCCAGATGGGGATATACAAAACTATGGGAAAATAAAAGAGATTTTGTTGTCTCGGTATGCTGTAATGCCTGAAGCCCACAGAAGGAAATTCCGGGCCCTCAGGAGACAAGGCAAGGATTCATATACCGAATGGGCATTTCAGATGCAACGCGCTGCCAGTAACTGGATGCAGGGGAATCAGGCAACTACCTTGGAGGATGCTGTGCAATTAATACTACTGGAGCAGTTTTTTGATTACACACCAGCGGAGGTTAGAGACTGGGTCAGAGATAGAAAGCCACAGACGGTAGAGGAGGCAGCAAGGTTGGCAGATGAATTCCATGAGAGCAGAAGGCTGGATGGAAATCGAGGGTTCTCTGGACCGCGACCCTCCTCGGGTCCTCCACCTACACCACAAAGGGTAACCCCACAGGGGAGCAATACCACAACCCCGGGGTATCAAAAGACCGCTCCAATGTGTTATAGGTGCAAGCAAGTGGGGCACATCAAACCTAATTGCCCACAACGTACTACAGACCGCTGGGGGCGGACACCAGTACCACCGACCAAAGCAGTCGCACACTGTGTGCAAGAGGATTATGACTCTCTGACTCAAGGGGCACCCAGTAACAACAGTGAAAATTGGGCCACCTTACATGAGGTGAACCCCGTGCAAGCGGCTGGGGATAACAGGGCGCGCCATCACCAGTCAGTAAAACTAAATGGACAAGAAGCTAGGGGACCAAGAGACAGCGGGGCTACTATTACCTTGGTCCAGCCACACCGGGTCACCCCAGCCCAGCACACAGGACGCACCATTGCTGTAAGGGTGGCCGGAGGGGCAATTCATAAACTGCCAACAGCTCGGGTACACATTGATTGGGGTACGGGGGCCAAGGCTGTGGAAGTGGGCATCATGCCAGATTTGCCAGCGGAAGTATTGCTGGGGAATGATTTAGGATGCTTGACGTCCCAATTGACAGCCTGCAGTCTAGAAGGAGCACTACCTGTTACCACCCGTCAGCAATCCAGAGCTCCCCATCAACCCATGACCAGGTAAGCAATAACCCCCTGACAATTCACCCTGACCATACTTCTTACTGGGGTATCCCTCAAGACTTTGAGCAAGCTCAGCGGGAAGATCCCACATTAAAGGGGTATCGGAGGGAGGCAGAACAACCCCAGGGAGACAGAGATCAGGCAAGGTTTATCTGGGAAAAGGGTTTACTATACTGGGTGACCGGGGGGACAGGGAAGGGAGCGGGTCAGGTAGAAAAAAGACAATTAATAGTGCCCTGTAAGTATCGGGTAGAACTACTGCGGATTAGACTAGAGACCGACTCACCCAGTCATTTTTCTGGCCGGGGGTCACTAGAGATTTGCAGGATTATTGTAGGGCCTGCGAGGTATGCCAAAAGGTAGGAAAGAGAGGGGATCACCCCAGGGCAAAACTACGTCCCCTACCCATCATTGAGGAACCATTTTTCCGAGTGGCAGTTGATTTAGTCGGGCCACTCAGCAAACCCAGTCCATCCGGTAAGAAATACATTCTTACTGTGGTGGACTACGCTACCCGCTACCCCGAGGCAATAGCTCTGTCAAATATACATGCCGAGACGGTAGCGGAAGCACTGGTGCAGGTGTTCACTAGGGTGGGGTTTCCTACGGAGAAAGTGTCCGATCAAGGAACCCAATTCACCGCGGTGGTTACCCAACAGCTCTGGCAGAGCTGTGGGGTAAAACCCATATTAAGTTCCCCATATCATCCCCAGACCAATGGCCTCTGTGAGCGTTTTAATGGCACCCTTAAACAAATGCTCATCATGTTCACAGAGACCTGTCGGAATTGGGAAAGGTTCCTTCCCCATTTACTCTTTGCCTATAGGGAAGATCCCCAGGAGTCCACCGGATTCTCCCCGTTTGAACTACTATACGGGAGACGAGTCCGGGAACCCCTGGACCTAGTACGGGAACATTGGGAAGGCGATATGGAACACACAGGTACCCCTATAGTCACGTTTGTACTAGAGTTGAGGGACCGTCTGCAGGCTCTGACCGAAACGGTTCGGGAGAACCTGCAGACAGCCCAACAACGGCAGAAGTACTGGTATGATAAGGGAGCTAGAGACCGTATATTGGAAGTAGGACAAAAGGTCCTAGTACTCAAGCCCATTAAGACCGATAAGTTGCAAGCATCCTGGCAGGGCCCCTACACTGTGATAGAGCGGATCAGTGATACCACGTACATTGTGGCAGACTGTTCGGACGGAAGGATCCGTCGATCCTTCCATGTAAATATGCTCAAGCCATATCATGAGAGAACAGAGGAGGTCTCTGCGGTATGCGCTCCAGCATATGAGGATAGCGAGAGTATTCCGTTATCGGATATGCTCCCTCAGGGACCGACAGGGGTAGAACAGGTACAGTTGGGCCCCGAATTAAGTTCAGAGGAGCAAGCTCAGGCTTCCCAATTGTTGGAGGAGTTCGGGGGCATGTTTTCAGCAGCCCCAGGGTACACGACCCTGGCAGTCCACAGAGTGGAGACCCCAGGCCAGTTACCTCTGCGGCAGAAGCCTTACCGAATCCCCGAAGCAGTACGGGAAAGCATGTTAAAAGAAATCCAGGACATGTAAGAACTGGGGGTAATAGAGCCATCTGAAAGCCCGTGGGCTTCTCCAGTGGTTTTAGTTCCTAAAAAAGATGGTACCACCTGGTTCTGCGTGGACTACCGCAAGCTAAATGATAGAACAGTCACAGACGCATACCCCATGCCCCGAGTGGACGAGCTGCTTGACCGCATGGCTGGGGGGAATTATTTGACCACTATAGATTTGTGTAAGGGATGTTGGCAAATCCCCTTGGAGCCTGAGGCCATCCCAAAATCGGCATTTGTCACCCCATTTGGCCTATACCAGTTTAAGGTTATGCCATTTGGGATGAAGAATGCCCCCGCTACGTTCCAAAGGATGGCTGACCGGCTCCTAGAGGGATTTCAGGGCTTTGCTTGTGCTTACCTGAATGATATAGCTATCTTCAGTGGCACTTGGGAAGCCCACCTGGAACACATCTCAGTAGTGCTCACTTGAATCCAGAATGCAGGGCTCACTTTGAAGCCTGAGAAATGCCACGTAGGCATGGCTGAAGTCCAGTATTTAGGACACAGAGTAGGGTCAGGGAAACAGAGGCCAGAACCAGCCAAAATTGAGGCCATCACGCAGTGGCCCCAACCCGGACTAAAACTCAGGTCATGGCTTTTTTAGGCACAGCTGGCTACTATAGGAAATTTGTAGCAGAGTACAGTGCCCTAGCTAAACCCCTGAAAAATCTAAAAATCCCTACCCCGACAAGTAGCCTGGTCCCCTGAGTGTGAGGAGGCTTTCCAGAAACTCAAAGCTGCATTAAGTGCATCTCCTGTGTTGGCGGCACCTGATCATACTAAAAGGTTTCTTGTCCACACAGATGCCTCCATGTTTGGACTGGGAGCAGTACTAAGCCAGGTGGGAGACGATGGCATGGACCACCCGGTGGCGTATCTGAGCAGAAAACTTTTACCATGCAAAGTCAGCTATGCCACCGTGGAAAAAGAGTGTCTGGCATTAGTTTGGGCACTTAAAAAGCTACAACCCTACCTGTATGGACGCTCTTTCACAGTGCTGACTGACCACAACCCTTTGATTTGGCTTAACAGAGTAGCTTGCGATAACCCCAGACTACTCAGATGGAGCTTGGCACCGCAACCCTATAATTTTACAATGCAGTATTGCCCCGGGAAGCAGAATGCCAATGCAGATGGCCTGTCACGGCAGACCGAACTAGAAAAGTAACTCTCTCATCCGGACATCCCTTAGCCGACCCGTTAGGATCTAAGCAGGTATGCAGTTCCATGGGACTAAGGGGGAGCTGTGTAACGACATCCCTTGTTAAACAGACTATGCGAACCAGCCTGTTTGGTTATTTAGACGTGTGTGGGGTGATTTTGTGCAAATAGCAATAAAACGAATAAACTGCCGAATCACCCGATTTCCTACTGAGGTCGTGTGGCGCCCATTAACCACCCAGACTTTGCGATAACCACAGAGTAATTGGGGAACAGCTTTGTGGTCCACGTTCGTCTGCTGAACACGTGGCAGTCGCCATTTTAAATCGTCGAACGCCCAGCGGTAAATGGCGGCGATGCCCTGGAACTCTTTTTCGGATACTTATTCTGCCGAACACAGCTGATACTTACCAAGGTCCTCGTTCATACGGTTGAAAACACATGAATACCAGAGACATTGCACCGTTTGGGACTTGGATTTATGCGAAAGAGACCGACCCCAGATAGCTACAGTGTGGAACTCTTTGTTGGATACAAACACGCGAACGGCCGGTGAAGTCCAAACTTCTTTCAACTTTATTGAGAACTGTGTTGGTGGGATCTGAGAGCTATTCGCCTAGAATATGCACTCAGATCTAAGCTATCTGGGGGTATGTGTGATTTAAAGTTTATGTTCAGTAAAATATAAGTTATAGATTTTTATGCTGTTTTATGAATATGGGAAAAGCCATGTTTCTTTCTACCTGGAGATAATTAAGGCTCTCTTTACTACCTTAAGTTAATTATCTCCAGGATGGAAAGGAAGGAGTGACCTATGTAAAAGGGGAGTGCTTATGTTATAGCCACTGCGATTGACTACTGTCATTCTTTTGTCCCAGTCTTCCATCTGGTCCCCTAGGGGAGTGTCCACCAGGTGGGAGACCTGCATAAATACCGGGCAGGTAGCCCCCATTAAATGAGACTGTTTTACCCCTTTATGAAGTCTCGACTGTTTGGGGAACTGGAAGCTATAATCACTCTGTTTCAGCAGGGTTTCGGGAGAAGCTACAAGGATCAGCACTGCATGAATAGAAGGATCCTTTACAATTAGGAAGAATACTAAAATGCGACGAGAGACCTAGTACGTCGGGGCTGCGGGAGAAACCTCTCCGTCCAACGCCTGAACATCCCGACGGAAAGCCACACCAGACCAAGCATGAAAGTCCATCAGCAGATGCCCAGTCTCATAGAGAAAATGGACAACGTCCTCCACATCCCATAAATCGGAGGTGGATGTCACTGGGTAGTTGATACACAAGAGGATCCTAATCCATCAGGAGTCCTCAGACTGGGACACGGGCAGTTGAGCTGTCCCAATCGCCACATAATCAATCAAGGTAACATAGAAACATAGAATGTGACAGCAGATAAGAACCATTCGGCCTATCTAGTCTGTCCAATTTTCTAAATACTTTCATTAGTCCCTAGCCTTATCTTATAGTTAGGATAGCCTTATGCCTATCCCATGCATGCTTAAACTCCTTTACTGTGTTATCCTCTACCACTTCAGCTGGAAGGCTATTCCATGCATCCACTACCCTCTTAGTAAAGTAATACTTCCTGATATTCTTTTTAAACCTTTGTCCCTCTAATTTAAGATTATGTCCTCTTGTTGTGGTAATTTTTCTTCTTTTAAATATAGTCTTCTCCTTTACTGTGTTGATTCCCTTCATATATTTAAATGTTTCTATCATATCCCCCCTGTCTCGTCTTTCCTCCAAGCTATACATGTTAAGATCCTTTAACCTTTCCTGGTAAGTTTTATCCCGCAATTCATGAACCAGTTTAGTAGCCCTTCTCTGAACCCTCTCTAAGGTATTAATATCCTTCTGTAGATACGGTCTCCAGTACTGTGTACAATACTCCAAGTGAGGTCTCACCAGTGTTCTGTACAATGGCATGAGTACTTCCCTCTTTCTACTGCTAATACCTCTCCCTATACAACGAAGCATTCTGCTACCATTTCCTGCTGCTCTATTACATTGTCTGCCTACCTTTAAGTCATCAGAAATAATCACCCCTAAATCCATTTCCTCATATGTTGAGGTTAGGACTCTATCAAATATTCTGTACTCTGCCCTTGGGTTTTTACGTCCAAGATGCATTATCTTACACTTATCCACATTAAATGTCAGTTGCCACAATTCTGACCATTTTTCTAGTTTACCTAAATCATTTGCCATTTGGCTTATCCCTCCTGGAACATCAACCCTGTTACATATCTTAGTATCATCAACAAAAAGACATACCTTACCATCAAGACCTTCTGCAATATCACTAATAAAAATATTGAAGAGAATGGGTCCAAGTACAGATCCCTGTGGTACCCCACTGGTGACAAGTCCAAGCTTCGAATATATTCCATTAACTACAACCCTCTGTTGCCTGTTACTCAGCCACAGCCTTACCCATTCAACAATATTGAAATCCAAACTTAAAGATTGCAGTTTATTGATAAGCCTTCTATGTGCAACAGTGTCAAAAGCCTTACTGAAATCTAGGTAAGCAATCAAAAAAATCAATAAGATTAGTTTGGCATGATCTCCCTGAAGTAAACCCATGTTGTCTCTGATCTTGAAATCCATGTGTTTTTAGATGTTCAACAATCCTATTCTTTAACATGGTTTCCATCACTTTCCCCACTACTGAAGTAAGGCTTACTGGCCTATAGTTGCTCGACTCCTCCCTATTACCTTTCTTGTAAATGGGCACAACATTCGCTAACTTCCAATCTTCTGGGACTATTCCTGTTAACAATGATTGGTTAAATAAATCTGTTAATGGTTTTGCTAGTACACCACTAAGCTCTTTTAATAGCTTTGGGTGTATTCCATCAGGTCCCATTGACTTATTTGTCTTTACTTTTGACAGTTGAAATAGAACCTGTTCCTCTGTAAACTCACGTGTAATAAATGACTCATTTATCCTTACAGAACAAAAATATTCATTGAGGCAGTCAACTAGACCTTTATCCTCTTCTACATACCTTCCTTCTTTTGTTTTTAATCTAACTAATCCTTGTTTTACTTTTCTTTTCTCATTTATGTATCTAAAAAATGTTTTATCCCCCTTTTTTACTGACTGTGCTATTTTCTCTTCTGTGTGTGATTTGGAAGCTCTTATAACTTGCTTAGCCTCTTTCTGCCTAATCTTATAGATAATTTTGTCTTCCTCACTCTGGGTTTTTTTATAAATCCTAAATGCTAACTTTTTGTTTTTAACTATTTTGGCCACATCTGTGAAGTACCACAGTGGTTTCTTGAATTTTTTGCTTTTACTGACAAGCCTAATGCAATTTTCTGTTGCCTTTAATAGTGCAACTTTTACAGTTCCAAACACCAATCAGACCGGGAACGCCCCCAGCATCATCACGTCCCTGGGACCCAAGAGACTCCCAAGAGGTCCCCAGCAGCCTGTGATAGTCCGCCGATCTGCCAAGAACCCCAAAAAGAGTCTAGGCTACAAGGGCAGCCGACCTTCCAGGAATAGAAGATGTGGGTTCCCTCTGGGTCAGTGAGAAAAATAGTAGGATATGAATGTAAAAGGAGGAGATCCTCACCAGTCAGTTGATTCTGTCACAGTGGGAAGGCCAACGCGGTGTTATTCGTTGAACAACAATATGGAGAATATTCGCAAACATTGCAAGGAGGGGAAAACATATATCCCCCAGGGAGGCACAGTTGGCCGGAGTGTGACCACCATCATGCACTGTGGCAATTTAAAAACACGGAATTCTGGTGGTTCCTCTGATATGAGTCTCCCACGGGAGGAAGGCAGGAATCGAAGATGCCTTTCATGATGTCTGACAGAAGACGGGAGTTGGTTCCATCCATGCGAATGGTATACCGGACTGTCGACGCTCTGTCCAACTGTAGTAGGATGTAACAGATGGAGTACTTCTTTGCCAGTCTACAGATAGTGAAGTATTGCTTGAAGAATTCTAGGCCTCCCAAACCGGGACCACCCCGGGCCAGTGGGCCAAACACATGAAAATACAGGTAGAATACTTGAAAAGAACAAGGCAATTCACTGACCGGCAGCAGTTCCTCCGCCAACGTGGTGTTATTCGTTGAACAACAAGATGGAGAATATTCGCAAACATTGCAAGGAGGGGAAAACATATATCCCCCAGGGAGGGACAGTTGGCCGGAGTGTTACCACCATCATGCACTCTGGCAATTTAAAAACACGGAATTCTGGTGGTTCCTCTGATATGAGTCTCCCACGGGAGGAAGGCAGGAATCGAAGATGCCTTTCATGATGTCTGACAGAAGACGGGAATTGGT